AAAGAAATAAAATATTCCTTCTGTGTCCCATCTGAGTCAGCATTTTCCTCATATCATCTCATTTAGATGCCACAAGTCAACAAGGAAGCAGGTATTCCTCTCATTTGCAGGTCAGGAAATGGAGATCCAAAAAGGTACAGACTCAGGTCCAAACTCATACCCAATCAGAGATGCAGAACTAATTTTCACCAGGGAATTTTTTTTCTGCCCATGCATTTTCTACCCCTCTACCCAGCTACCCTGTTGAGGCAAATTGTTGGGGTTTAAGCCCCAACTCTACCCCCTTTTTTCTGATAACTTGTTAAGCTCACTCAGATTGCTCATCTAAAAAATGGCAAAATTCCAAGAATGAGTTATCAAACTCCAAACAATGGACAGGTAAAGAGCATTTCATTCCAACCCTCTCGAAGCTGTTGGGATGGAGTTTAATTTAAGTGCTTGGGTACCATGGCGATGCCAGCACTATAAATACCAGAGAGACTTCTCACAGCCAGCCTGCTGGTTAGTGCGCTTTACGCCCACCCCCGGTTCCCACCAGGGCTCCTCTAGTGCTGTTGGGTTGGGAGAAGAGGAAAGCAGGGTTTGCAGGGACTCCCTCCCCCTGCTCACGCTCTTCCTTTCTCCTCTCTACACCCTCACCCTGGAAATTGAGATTTCATCTCCACCTCCTCCTTCAGCACATAATTCATTTCCTCCTTGGTGAAAGACACAACAGTTCCCAGCCCCCGGTACCCAGAGGACTTTTGGATGGGAGACTGGAAACCTCTTTTGGTAGCCCCAGAAAAGTGTGTATCCAGAAGAAATCCAGTTTGGCTAATGAATGAATGAACGAGCAAGGCAGAAAGGAGGGCAGAGGGAGACAGGCAGAAAAGTATACCCCTTCCCGGGACATGCCTGTTTAAGTCCCTGCTACTCAACCCCTAGGTGGGACTTGTTGAAGGTCCTCCTGGAGGTCAAGAATCAGGAGAGGTTTATCTTCAGCTGAGAATTGAGAACAACCCCCACCTCAACTCTGCCATGTCAGCTCCACGACCTCAGGACCCCCTTTTCACTGCCACACACTCCAAATAGGCAATCCCAACGAAACATAGCTCAAGACTCTTCCTCTCTCACAGGCATCCAAAGTCCCATGATACAGTGATTCAGCAGCAAAACCCACTGGAAGCAGCTGAGCTGGAATCAAGGCTCTATTATGTACTCTGTGACTATCGAAAAGTCACTTCGCCTCCCTGAGCCTCAGTTTACATATCTGTAAACTGGGACCAATAAGAAATAGCATCATGAGCCATGGTTCATAGAAACAGCATCTCCCTGTTGGTAAAATGAGTAGGCTGTGCTAAACTTATTCCAATTTATTTTCAAGTACTATATTAAGCACTGAGGACCCAGAGATGATTCAGAAACCACCTCTTCTGCCTCAACAATCTTATCGCCAGGGGTTCTTCCACTGAATTTTCCCCAGCTGAGGATGTTTTCCCATCATTGGGAAAAAAAGAACACTCCCCATACAATTATGAATCTCCAATAATGTGTGACTAAAGAAAGGGGACACTTTTGGCTCAGTCACAGAACAGTAACAGTGTACATTCTCCGGGATGTGGGGGTGGAGAGCAGCAGCAAAGTGTAGGAAGAAAACCTACCTTCAGAGAAAGTCTCCACAGCCTCCATTTCCTTGAAGAATGTAGAGGCTCAGGAAACTACTGCTGACATCTCTTTGCCTTTTATTTTAAATTTAATTCCTCCTTTTTCCCATCTTCACAAAAACATATTATTATGTAGCTCTGAAAGTCTCTGAAACACATATGTGGAAACCAGCCTTTCTTTGTTGCTGTGGCAGTAGAGAAAAGGATGAAGGTGGGCATCGTTCTGGAAAAAAAAAAAAAAAAAAAAAAGACAACCTGCCCCAGACTCAGGTGTCCACTATGGCCACTTGGATGCGAAAGTAAATGAAAAAAGGCTCAGTCTGTGGTGACTTCTGCTCGGCTCCTCTACTGGCCAGGCCTGTCTCCTCTGCCTGAGTTCACCGACAGACAAGGCCCAGGAGGCAGGCCCAGAGGCTGGGCTTCTTGCCTTCAGATTCCTGCTGCTCAGTCACCTGGAGAGTAACGTCCAATTTGCCCTATCACGTGGCTGAGCCGGTTTTACCTTTAATCTCTTTCACATTTGTCCTCAGCCTCCAAGAATGCCTGGGGATGATTCACTCACCATCACAAGGGGCAGGCAGTCATCTGTTTTATTACTTCACCCTGCTTGCAACTTCTGGGAGATAACCTAGGATTCTTTTGTTTGGGGGGGGTGGGGGGTGATCAGACCAAGTTCCTAAGCAATCTATTCCTGCCCTGGGCTCACTTTCCTGCTCCCCAACCCAGGTCTAAGGGTCCAAAGAAACAAGCCTTTTGGAAAATGCCAGAGTCTGTACACCCAGGCTACAAGGAATATCAAATTTGGCAGTGGGCAGGGTGTTTTCCCCTTGCCAACAACACCAAGTTTAGTTGCAAAATGGAAATTAGCAATAAAGAGGACCCTCGCAAGCAACTGCACGCAATTATCCAGAAGAGAAAGGACCCAGGCCTATGTTTGGAACAGAAAATACTTCATCAAGTCGTATTTCATAGGGGTGTGCTCCAAAGTACCCCATGTAATCCAGTAAGGTTCCTGGGATGATGGCTGACAGCTGAGTGCTGAGTCCTTTGCATTTTTCATTTCCTTCAGTTCTCTCACAATGCGCTCTGTGGAGCCTATGTTAGGATGATGTAAGATTGACACTTCAGTCAAACAAGTTACTCAAGGTCACAAGGCTAGAAAACAGGGTGGCTTTGGGACCCAAAAAACCTGGTTTTAGAGTTTTTGCTTGTCAGCCCCCCAAATTGTGAAGCAAGGAGCAACAAGATCAGGATTTATCAGCAACCCATAATATTCCAGATCCAGACCAGGGGTAGGTCCAGGAGTTGGCAGGTAACAAAACAAAACAAAAAACATTTAAGGGTTAGTGACTGAGGCCCTGGGTGATGGAGTCAGACAGACCCAGGTGTATTTCTTAGCTTTGTATTCCTGGCCAACAATAGAGTCTCAGAATCTCAGTTTTCACATCCATGAAATGGTATAGGAAACAGTATTCCCTATGCCAGAGGATTGATGTAAGGATTAAATAAGATCATGTGTGAGAAGCACCTAACCCCATGCTGGCTTTACTTCTGCGCAATTGCCTTAATAATGGGAGGTTTTGATATAGTAAAGACGGCCCATGCAGAGGAAGTGGAGAGAACTTTGGGAATTCCCCATAAAAAGATGGGAAACTCCTATTCTTGAGTATCAGGACCAGTCGGAGGCCCTCATCCCTGAACTTCTGCACTTGGCATCCATAGAATGAAGGAGGGAGAAAGGGCCAAACATGGAGCCCCTACCTGACCTCAGGGAGGCATTTGAAGGTGAGGGGCTGCCATAGTGGGTCTTCCCTGCCAAGAGGAGATGAGTCCACAGACATGGAATCTCCTCCCAGGCTCAGCATACCCATACAGTACAGCATGCGACTCCTCTGGGGCAGATGACACTGGCTTGGTTCCTCTGGTCCAGCTTCCTGCCATATATTGGCCGTAGGGGGTGGAAATGGTTAAACATATTCTCAGGAAATACAGACATAAGAATGTGCAAAGCCAGTGGATCCTTAACTCAATCATGCTACCATCTTTTCTGTATTTAATTATGTATTTTTACTTTCTCGAGCAATCTTGTCTGATTTATTCATTTCCTCTCATTTTCTTCAAAATGGGAATGTGGCGTTGCTTGCTTTCTTCTTCATGACCCCTTTTTTCCAAATCCATAGCACACCTACCTCAAAGGGGAGGCATGGGAAGCTCGCTAGCCCACAGCCTGGGACAGGTTAAGTATTCAACTTGACTGACAACATCACCGTTACTATGACTTTTACAAAATGCTTCCCCTGATATCTTCTGGAAGCCCCCCCAGAGGTGGGGGAGGGAATTCATAGCACTCCTCATTTTAGGGACCTTAAGATGAGCCAGCTACATTTGCAAATTCGGGGGGGGGGGTGGGGGTTGGCCAAACAATATGAGAGAGGAGTAAGTAAGAGAGACAGATGGTGCGTGTATTGGGGGAAGGGACCAGAGACACTGGAAAAAAAACTTCTGTTCCCGGATTTGCAAGACTGTTTCCAGTTAACCACTTCTTGCCTGCCTCCTGCGTCTACAGAACAGAGCAGGGAGGCGTCTTAAGATTTGGGGGCCACCTGTGCCTCGCGGGGGACACCGGGGAGCGGAGGGCCAGGCGCGCCGGGAAGACCGAGCAGCGCGGGTTCGGCGCTGCCCTCCGGCGGCTGCGCGGCGGGTCCGGGACGCGGCGCGGGGCGGCCTCCCTTCCCCGGCCAGGGGCAGCGAAGGGGCGGCGAGCGGCTCGGACTGTCCCGCGAGGGGGCGCGTCTCGGGCCGTAGGACCCGCCCTCGAGGCGCAGGGGGCGGGAGGGGACCCGGGAATCCAGGCGCCCCTCGCTCCGCCTCCCGTTTCCGGGGCAGCGCGGTTACCTGCGCCGCCCGAGCCGCACCTGGCGGAGGCAGGAGTCGCAGAGCGCGGCGCGCGGCGCGGGGAGCAGGGGCGGCGGCGCGCGGGCGCGGGGGGCGGAAGAGCGGCGGCGCGTGGAGGGCGCAGCGCGCGCGCGGGAGGAGGGCAGGCGGCTGCTGCGCCCCGCTCGCTCTGCCCCGCCGGCCGGGCGCGCACCCGGGCCCGCACCGCGCCGCGGCGGCCGCACATGGCAGCGTGAGAGGCCGGCGGCCGGAGGAGCGGGCGGCGCCGGGCCGGCACTGCAGGGCCGCATGGACAGCGGCGCCACCCCGGCCGGCCCCCACTAGGCCCCCCAATCCGCGGGCGCCACCCCCTCCCCCATCATGGTGCCTCGGCGGCCGCCCGAGCCGGGTACAGCCGGCCGGAGCCGCTGAGCCGGGGCCCCCGCGGCGCCCGGGAGCTGCATGGGGGAGCGCGGGCCGCGCTGGAGAAGATGCCCCGGCCGGAGCTGCCCCTGCCGGAGGGCTGGGAGGAGGCGCGCGACTTCGACGGCAAGGTCTACTACATAGACCACACGAGCCGAACCACCAGCTGGATCGACCCGCGGGACAGGTAGGGCCCCCGGGAGGGCTCCCCCAACCCCCCAACCCGGCCTCGGCCCCCTCCGGCCCCAGGGACCACCAGCGAGGGCTGGGCAGGTGAGGTGGGGGGAAGGCAAAAAGGGGGACTCTAGGAACCCCTTGCGCTTTCTTCAGACTCTACACCTCCCCTGCTTCTGCGGGGCTCGTCCTGCTGGGGTGGATGACTGGGAGGGGGCCGGCCAGGGAGTTGGCCCAGGCTACCCCACCTGCATCCCCAAATGCAGGATTAGGCCCCTGCCGGCACCTGCCCAGAGTTTTGACCTTACGCTCTAGCCCCGCCCCCGCCCCCTTTAGGAAGAGAGGTCGTGCAGGAGAGGGGGGAGCGACGTAGGCCAGATGCTGGGGCTTCCCGGGAAGGCTTTCCCCAGGATGGTGGGGGGGCTGGTGGGGAAAGCATTTGGTTTGGAAGGGGTAGTAGGAACGCTGGACAGTGGAGGTGGCTGGAGCAGGGCGCTGGTCGGAGGGGAGGCAGCCGGAGTGTGATATTTGACAGGTGCCTCCAAGACTCAGCTGCGAGCCCTGGAGTAGCCAGAGAGCCTGGAGGCCGGGAGTGGGAAGGAAAGGAAGGTGCAGGGGAGGGCTGATAGGGGAGACTGGTTCTCCAAGAATCTCACAGCAACTTGGAAGCTGTTAGGATGTAGATGGAGGTGAGAGGGCGTCCCATAATGCCCAGTCCATGGCCTCTGTCACCTCGCTTATGTCCTCTGGGGTCCAGAGCGACCGTGCACCTCAGCCTGGCACAAACGCCTCCTGACCTTGGTGGGCACTACTCAGGCTAAGCAAGAATTTTTTTTTTTTTTTTTTTTAATGCGGAGGCAGGTGGAGTCTTCCATGGCTGGTGAAGCTCTTAGCTTCCAGACTTTTTGTGGGTTTTCACTGCTTGGCATTTCTTTGGGGGCAGGAGGGGAAGACCATCCTCTGGGACGACTTTGTTGTTCTTTGTAGCCTGGGTCTGAGGTCAAAATATCTCAGGAATGTGGAATTTTCACCTAGTCAGTGTGACCTTGGGCTGCAGGTGACTAGGAAGCAATGGAGGTGACTTGGAAGCAATGGAGGTGACTTTTTGGATCCTTCATCTTGGTGGGGTTGGGATGGAGGTTCCCAGAAGTCCAGGATGGGGAGTATAGCAAGGTGAGAGTTAAGAAAGAGTATAAAGAAGTGTGGATTGATTCCCAGTCCTTCCTGTGAGCCCTAAGTCCATTCATTCCATTTAGTGTGTTCCTGCTCACTAATGTCATCTGGAAGAGAAGTGTTTAGTGCTAGAGAGTGTCCTTTGGATTAGAGCTTTAACCTTTGAGCCTCAGTTTCCCTATTTGTCACATTTTTAGTTCACCTGGTAAGGAAGGAGTTAACAGAGGAATTCTTAAAAGTTGGAAACAACAGAGAATATCAGAACCCAGACCGATCTGGGTTTAAAGAGAGAGCAAGTTTGAGGTCCAGAGGGTGATTTTCTCAAGTATTTGTCCCTTTCTGCCTGCTCTGCCTTACACCAAGTTCTTTTGATCTGCTCTGCAGTTTTAACCTCCAAACCTGTCTTCCTGACTCACTTCCACCCCCACCCCACGAGCGGTTATCCCAGGGTCTCTGTTACTGTGGTGGTGAACTAGGCAGCTCTTTTTTTTTTTTTTTAAGATTTATTTATTTATTTATTTATAAGCACTGGGTACAGTCAGAAGCGCAGGAGGGTGAGAGAATTCACCAGAGCCAGAGCGGGGAGCAGAGCAGGCAGAAGGACCGAAGTACACTGCTGAGGGGAGCAGCGGGCGGCAGGAGAGGTCTGCACGCCATGTGGGACTCTCCTCCGGTGGCCGGGGAGCAGCCAGGGATCGAACCGGCACTGCAGAGGCTGCGGGCAGCTTCGCAACCCAGCGCTCAACCACTGCGCCACCAGGGAGGCCCTGGGCAGCTCTTTTTCCCTTGTCTTCTCCTAGAACAGAAAGAAGTTCAAGCTCGTGCCTCTCCTAGTGTGGGTCCTGGCTGCTTACTAAGGCTGGAGTGCTGTCACTAGCTGGGTGTCAGAGAGCTAGGATAGCCCCATGCCAGGCTATCCATGCCTATGGGGACAACTCTGGGCTCTGGAGGATAATACAGTTGCAAAAGCTCCTCAAACAACAGTAATTCTCTTTTAAATTTTGATAGAATACACACAACATAAAGTTTACCATTTGAACCATTTTTGATGGTACAATTTTGTGGCTTGTTTTCACAGTACTGTGCAGCCTTCACCACTATCCTGAATATTTCACAGTGCTAGTGACAGTCGTCCCCATGCTGTACATTGCCACCCCCATGACATCTTTGTTTTATTTTATTTTTTTCCTAAAGATTTATTTATTTATGCATACAAGAGCTGGGGTGCAGGCCAGAGGTGCGGGGAGGTGAGAGGATTCACCTGAGACAGAGTGGGGAGCAGAACAGGCAGATCTACTGAAATACACTGCTGAGGGGAGCAGCAGGCGAGACAGGAGATGTCTGCTGTGCCATGTGGGTCAGCTCCCTGGCTGAGGATTGAACTTGTGGCTGCACATAGCTTCATAGTGCTATGACTTAACCCCTTGCGCCCCCAGAGAGGCCCTGACATCTTAGTTTTATAATTGGAAGTTTGTACCTTTTGTTATCTTTCACCCATTTAGCCTACCCCACCCCCTTCCCCTCTGGCAACCACCATTTGGTTCTTTGCATCTATGAGTTTGGTCTGGTTTGGTTTTGGCAAATAACAGTAATGCTTACCCTTGGAAGAGGATGGCTTCTAGGGGGGAATTGATTTGTCCAGGGCATAATTTCCCAAATTTTAATTTGGGGTGGCCCAGGATCATATTTTTTTTTTCTGCATCCACTTGTGATACTACTTTACATCAACTCAATTTAAGAATTTTTGAATTTTCTCAAATGGAAAACTAGTCTATTGTTAAAAATAGAAGAGATGCTTAAAAAATGCAAAGGGGAGAGGGACCTGATGCCATTATATTTCAGCTCCATACTATGGCCTGCCCAGCAACAGGCCTTTGGTTTGAGCATGTTGGCAAGATTGGAGAGGGGTGAAGAGCACACTGGCACTGAACTGAGTGATCAGATGCTCTTCAGCTTGCAAGTCAGTGGTTTTTAACGCTGTCTTTATGCTTCTAGATCCCGAATTAGCCCACCACTTGGGCTGTGTGGAGTCACTATTATGGTTGGCCAGTTTTGAATGTTTTGGGAAAGAGCTGAGCACAGACCATACACATGTGGCTTTTGGGACTTTCCCTCCTGCATACCCTGTTAGGGATTTCTGCCTTGTAGTGCCTGCCTGTGTGACCTCAGGCACATTGCTGGACTCCTTTGAGCTACTGGTGCTCAGTTGGTGAGGGAAGTGTGTTGATTAGATGGTCTTTCAAAGACCCTGCCAGCCCTCAGATATGATTTCAGACTCCTTGGCCTCTCCATACCTGGATTGACTCCGTGCCAGATGGGGAGGAGTAGACAGAGGTGACTGTGAGAAAGAGAAGGAGAAAGAAAGCTGAAAAGATCCAGACTTTTGGGGGTTGGGGGGTGGAGTAAGGCAGGAGAGATAAATTCTGCCAAAGAAGTTACATCTCTGTGACTAGTTAATGCTGTGAAACAAAAAATTCACGTTAAAAGAATTCTCCTTAAGTATGTATATGTGTGTGTATATTTGCATTTGCATCTGTATTGGCTTTTTCCTTACCTGAATCAAGGAGGTTCCAGCCCATTCTCCTGAATTTAAAAGAAGTAAGTCAAATGGTCCTTCAGTCAGAAAAGTGATTTCTTAGCCACCGAGAACAAAATAGCGTCTCGGGTTACCAACCCTGAAGAATGTCTTGGCACATTCCTCCCTCTGGGGCTGAGCTGTTTTGTGTGCTGTCCGGCGAGGCTGCTGGGGGTAGGGAATCCAGTTTTCAGCTTCCCCTTTCACCAGGGGACTGGAAGAGCAGCCAGGCGGCCAGCCTTGCCAACTCTCTCCCCTTCTCACCCAGGGCAAGACTGGGAGGCCGAAATTCCTGAGGGTGGTTGTTGGGACAACCAGAGAGGGTCCAGTGGGCAGCCTGGGCCCTGCCTACTGGGCCAAAGGCTCCAGCTGCACCACAGACTCTTTTCTGAGGCCAGGCCAGTCAGGGAGGACCACAGGCCCATCGGGAGTCAGGTGCTGCAGACCAGGCCCGTGCAGCCCTTAAGCAGGTTTCCTTTATCAGAAACACTATTGCTGCTGGGAGCACCCAGCAAAGGGCAAAGGCTCCATGTGTATTTAACGTTAGTGTATGCAAAAACAAATATACAGCTTGTTCTTAGAGGAAGAATGGATTGTTGGAATTGGCCCCACCAGAGAAGGTTCCTGAAGCATGACTACTGCTCGGTCTGAGGTCTGAGTTCAGACCTTCTTCTAGAAACCACCTCCAAACTCTGTTGGCTCAATTACTGGTTCTGTGATAAGTGCCGGAGCCCCACATGACTGAGAGACCATGTTGAGAGAGTCAGGAGGAATTTATGCTAGCCCTGTTACTTCAGAAATAATTTACATGGTATGATATAATTTATATGGGTCTGTGGTAGTCAAAAGATCAGACACCCTCCTTCCTATCACAGACACTTATGAGAATCTGACAAAGATTCAAAATATTTCCAGGAGAAAAGTACAGACTCAGTTTCTAGCACATACTTTCAGGGGGCTGATGGATCTCAGGTTGATAACTCCTGAATAGATTAATCCAGAAACTGCTCATCCTGAGCTCTGTGGCCCCCTATAAAGGAGACGGGAAATAATGATTGAGCATTTGCTGTCTTCAGTGGTCTGCTGAGAGCTGCTCAAGGGTGATTTCTTTATAGATATTCGCATAAGAGCCCTGGCAATAGGTATAGTTACCCTCTTGAGGAACCTGAGGCTCAGAGAAGCTAAGTGTGGAGAAAGACACTCAGCATTTGTGGAGTTGAGATGCAAAAACAACCCCAGAACCTTGTTTCTAACCACAGCACAAT